AACGTAGAAAAATAAGGCAATTGCCTTACCACTCTGTCCAAGATTGGTCCTGCCTCCACCTGTCTTTCTGCATGAGTAGATTGGTCGTACGCCGTGTCTTCATCGTTGGAGGACTCGATGTCGGCGTAGTCATCTTTTGTCCACTGTACCATCAGCCTGCAACGTGTCGCACGTTGGTACCAAGCTTGGTACCACCTGAACTCATGGTTCGTGTGTAGCTCGTTGTTCTCGTCCACGTTGTCGTGCATCTCCTCCCATTGCTCAATGTAGAACTGGTGGTGCTTCTCCCAGTCAAAAATCTTTCTGTTCTTCTGACGATCCAACCTGCACGTATGTCATCGTTACTTGAATCCATATACATGTCACCATATTAATGGAAATGGACCATCACAAGACATTTGAAATAGCAAAACACTTACTTGTGTAAGTCAACATCAGTCGAGAACGGGGCCGTTGGCCAAACCTGTCTCACTCCAAATTGGCGTGCAACTCTATCTGGCAGGTGGAACTCGACAACATAGAAGCAGATTAGAGGGCACCTCATCCTATAGAAATCGTCATCAAACCCACACATGTTGCTCAACTAAAAAGGAAGTGCCCCATCTCCATCGTACGCCTCCCACTCCACCTGCAACATGTCCAAATAAGATGTTAGATGGTATACTAATCCATTTCAATCCAGCATGGGAAATAAAATTTACTTACACTAGACGCCGTGAGCATGTCTAGCTCGTTCGTGAACTCAATGTACGCCCGCTCTAACCTCGCATGCGGAACCCTGACCTGGTCCCAAAGGTACGCCCACGTCGGCTGCCGACGTGGAGGCTGACCTAGGAACCACTCACGACGAATCAGAACCTCGGGATGGCCAACTGGTAGATGAGCACACATTCACAATTGGAACAGGTACACGCATCCACCAAGTGACGCTGTGGACGAAGTCCGACGACACCCCTCGCAAAGCTGTCGATAAAGGAAACCCAAGACTGTAGAGCCCTAGCTGTACTGACCTGCCTGGTCCCAGTCACTGAGGCAGTGAACCCACATCCATGACGCAGTGTCACCTGTGGTGTTGGGGAAGAGAACGTAGGCAAACAGGTGTAGGATCCACTCTCTGCAGTAGTACCCAACTGTCTCCTCATCTGCCTCCTCGGGGCACTGTGCGAACTCTTGCCGGAGCCAGAGATGAGAACTCTAGAAGTGCGAGCCCCTTGCTCGCCAACCTCACGTTCAAGGAAGGCCTCCACTCGTGCTCTCCAGCCTTCTGACCTACACAGCCAGGTGACTACGTTGCCGTGAATCCTCAGACATAGCATCTTCTGACAGTCTTGGAGCGTGACTGTCATCTCTCCAAAAGGTAGGTGGAAGCTGTGAGTCTTCGACCGCCACCTATATTTTAGACAAAACAAGATTACATGTCAAAAAGACAAGCACATGAATAAATGGCCATGAATGGAGGCAATGATTGAATATAATACCTGTCAACCAATGTAGTTATGGCCGCTGAAATGAACTTGGGCAACCCACGACGAACCTGAAAAAAGATGACATTCAGGCCAGCTCTTTGCAGGGAAAGAGTGTACCTGTTGTCGTACTGTATGTCCAAGAACCCATTGTGGGTTCTAGGATGAAGGAGCGGAAGGTCCTGCATGGAATAAAACATAGTCTCCTGTTACTTCACGAACACATGTACGCTCACCAAAATTTGAACAAAACGTATAGGTTATTACCTGCCCCTACGCTATGAGACGTCCTCGGTGGGTCGCCTCGTATGTCGGGTCGAACATGTGGAATTGCGCCATCCTACAAAAAAGTCAATGAATTAGAAATTCAATATACAATCAAACATGAACTTAGAAATATACAAGTAATTGACATAATTACATGCATAAATTGCACATGCATAATTAATTAAATGAATACATCAAATATGAAATAATGAAATCAACCAATAGTCACACCTCACTAATCTGCCAATGGCAACTTCGTGAATTGTGGCCAAGTCTACCACACTTGTCGCACTCGTACTGCTCGGGGTCAGTAACAAATGGGGTTCCTCTCCTATGCCTCGTTCTTCCGGGTATCTGATCGATAACCATCCAGTGCCTCGTCCTCTTCCTTGATCCACGCTTGTTCCAACGGTAAGCTGGATCCGCAATGTACTTCGGCCCATCATATGGAGGCCACTCTCTATGGTCCCGGAAAGGCACGAAGTGGGGGCTCCATGTGGGCACAAGCGTGTCTGACACTGAACTCGTGAGGTATCCTGCTCTCGATATTATAGTTGCGATGCCTAGCTGCTGCCACCAAATGGGAACATAGAAAGTTATACTGCCTTGGTTTACCACAAGTGCATTTGAAATATTGGAGGATAACCACATGCATCCTCGACTCTCGAACCTCGCCGTCGGACATTGTACCGCCCCTATGCTCCACCTGATAAGTCCCTGTGGCGTGGTAAAAGCATGTAACCTCATATGTGCTAGCCCTTTCATTTGTCTTCTCTAGGTGTGCCTTTGGTTTCGGAGCCCATATCTCTCCATCACTCCGTAGCTTCAATGCATGGGCATGTTTATCGTTGAACCAGGAAACAAGCTTATAAAAGGTGAATTGAACGATTATATTCACGGGCATACCACGTATCCTCAATAGCAACTTATTGAATGACTCCGCCATGTTGCTGCACTGAAACTCGTACCTTCATCCACCGGCGTCGTGAGCTCTCGTCTATTTCTCCAAATCCCTTATCAAACCTGTGAGCCATTGTCTACCTTCTGCATTTGATGCGGTTCTGACCTGCTCCAACTTTCTAACTACAAACTAAGTAAATAAAATAATAACTACATACATAGATACAGTGTACTAACTAAATATCTAGATCCTATTTAGTTAACTAAATATGTAACTACCTATCTAAGTAGCTATCTAACTATATCTATGTACCTATGTATCTATGTTTCTATCTATCTATATATCTATCTCGCGAGATCACTAATTAAATCAACTACTTGAGTCATCACATTAACTAGTAAATAACAAATGCCAAAACTGCTACACTACAATCAAAGCTAACTAAGTATGTACATTACAAATTTATAATTTTTACCTGCCCGACGATGGAGTCGCGGCGGACGCCGAGCGTGGGTCAGGCCGACGAGCCGGGCCGACGGTGGCACGGCCGGGCGCTGCAGGTGTCGGGGCCGACGGCGGCGCGGCCGAGGACGGTGGTGGCGCGCGGCGGACGCGGGATGCCCGGCGCTCCGCGCGGCGAGGCCGGCTTGGCGGGCGCGGCCGAGGCCGGCGGTGGCGGGCGGCATGGTCACGGTCACGGCACCGGCGCGGCGAGGCGCGGGCGGCACGTCGGGTGAGGTGAGGGCGCGGCCGAGGGTGAGGGCACGCGTGCGCGGGCGACAGGGGGCGGGAGAGGGCACGGGCTGCGGCGGCGATGCGCTGCTCGGGCGAGGGAGGTGCGAGAGAGAGAGGGAGAGGAAGAGAGAAAGGATTGGAGCCCATACGTAAGACAGGCTCGGCGCCAGTAACCCTAGGGTTAGTGGCGCTGAGCTGCCTGCCATATCACCGCCACGTCTGTTTCGAGCCCGCTGAGGTAAGGGTCCAGATTTTGAAATCTTACCATTATGGACATATTTGTGATTTTTTTTTAAAAGGGCTAAAAAAAATAAAAAAATCGGTGTGGCCTGCGTTTCCGTGTCGCTGCGCGCATCTCGCATTCAATACGGCCGCAGACGCGGGGATGAGTCAGCGACGCGCGCGGGGACCCGTCGCCGAACGAGTAGCTGGAATACAGCAGCAGCAATTCCTCCCCGCAGGCCTGTTTATAGTTCCAGGCTGTGAGAGATGATCTGGATGGATGGCTTCAAATCATAATTAAACACGTTCTTTGCGGACCTGTTGACAAGGCTAGCTGTGAGCTCAGCTGAGCGATGCACACGCGGTCGTCGTCGCACCAGAAACACGCAAGCAAGCAGCAGAGAGCTACTCTAGCGGCGGGCTCACAACAAAAAGGATCGGAGCGTCAAAATCGCACGACTCGCGGCGCGGCGCACCGGCTGACGGGCTGATGAACCGTAGACCCGTAGGTGCCGTTTGGATAGTGGCAAATGTGGGGTGGGACAGGGAAACGAGGGAGGAAAATATCCTATCTATTGTTTGGATTTTTGGAATGGAGATAGGGATAGGGAAATGATGCGGTCTTTTCCCTAACCTCCAAACCCAATGGAGGGGGTGGATTATGGCCGGGTTATGACCGAGGCTGCGCGTCGCTTTGCCGCGCAGGCCGTCGGAGCCCGCGTCGCTTCGCCGCGTAGGCCGCCGGAGCCAGCGTCGCCTCGTGCTGTCGACCAAGGATGCACGTCGCTTTGCCTCGCCGGCCGCCGGAGCTCGCGTCGCATCGTGTTGGCAATCGAGGCTGCGCGTTTCTTCACCGCGCACACGTCAGGCTCTCCGCTACAGCTAGCCCGGCGGGGGCGGGACCTTGCTGCTCACTTGCGTGGCCTGCTGTGTGAGATCGGAGCTGGCTGAGGCTAGCAGAGAGAAGATTCAGACGAAAGGACGAGAAGGTGCTGACGGAAGGAAGGCTTGTGGAGATATTTTTTTTGACTGACTAGATAACTGTTGACAGATTTGTCACCCCAAAATCTGTCAAATTTTTAACAAATCAAAAGCTGACACGCCTGGCTAGAAAAACTGACAAACGCTACAAAGTCAAATCTATCATATTTGCATAACAGGGTTCAGATACCCAAAGACAAAGAACCAAAACCCGTTAACAAATCACTCTTTCCATCCATACATTAGTGTGCACAAACATCCAACAGGAAGAAAACTATTTCAAACTATCGGTATTTATCCTCCATGAACGAATAGTAGTCCATGCAGATACAGCAGCCGCTAACACAGGAGGCCTAGTGCTCTGAAATATCTTATTCTTTGATGTTTCTATTTGCAATGCACTGAATTGCTTCCTTAATCCTTGTGGCATCTCAGGATGAGTTGAACCTTTCAGCAAATGTGCGTGGTGCTGTGCAGAAGCACTCTGCACTGTCCAGCTGGTCATCTGTTGCTGTCAATACGCAAGTTCTGGAGTCTCTGGTGAACCCCACTAAGGGCATTCCAGCATTGATGTCTGCCAGAGGAACTGAGCACAAGACTGAGAAACCAACAACTGCAGGAGAACCAGCCTCATGCTTTCCTGAAGAACTCAACTGTCAGAGATCACTTTCAAAACAAGAACACATGGATCAGCTTCCGAAGGCCTTGCGATCATCGCGAATGGCATCCCAGGAGCCTCAACAGCTGTACCTTCCGAGCAGAATCATGCACATGGTTGAGCTGCCAGCACCAGAAAGGAACGAGCACTGGCGAGCAATGCCACCAGAATGAGGTAGTTGCCATCTATGAGACCCCTCGCAGCATGTATGGCAAGATCCGGCAAGTTCCCACCTGCAGAGATTCCAACCATGTTCAGTCATCTTAGAAAAACTGGATGCACCTCCTTCCAACATTAGCTTGGAAAAATACAGTAACAAGTAAATGGGAAAAAATTACATTTCAACCAGGTTTTGGATGAATCACATCCCAGATGGCTTTCAAGAGATAACCCTGTTTCAGCCAAATCTGTTGCGCCAACAAATGTGATGACAGCCACAACAATCAAGTGCCTACAGAAGGTCAATTTAGATTCACTTCACTGAAAATGCAGATGAAGATTGGAAGTCCAAACATAAAATGCAGAGTGCTAAACTCAAATGAACCATCAAATGATCAACAACTAAAAATCAGTGAAACCCCAAAAGAACAAAACAAACAATTGCATAGGATCAGCAAAGCTGATAACTAAATATCACCACCAACAAAAAGCAGCATAGGCACTCCTAGGACTTTGTTGAAGAAAAAACAAAAACATAGTTTTTCCTCTACTCATCGGACCAAGCACCAAGAAAACAACAGCAAAATCAAAAAGATGCCACGAGCAGTCATACACCACGAGGGAAAAATAGCAGGAAAAACTAGTCAAACATGAACACAAAAAGGCTAAAACAAACATCTAATATCAAACATGCTACAAACTTGAGAAAAATCATCTACTCTTACACATTTAGAATTAAATGACATTAGATTATCAGAATAACAATTTTCTCAAATCAACCTAGGGAAAATATAGAAAACCACAACACTCTAAAAACAGCGATACCTGCAATCCCTACATATCAAAAGTCACTCAGATGGAATGCCATCGAAACAAACAGAAATGAAGTCATGCAACACACACATCCAATGCCTCAACGACAGCAACAGAGCAGCCCACACACTGAAGATGTCAGCAACAACACACACTGAAGAAAAACACAACTCATATAACCTGCAGGGAACGACCAAAATCCTCACACTTGCAAGCAATCATCACATATAAAACGCAAAATAAATAGACCATCACAGCTATGAAAATTACATCTAAAAAAAGTCAACTCCACCTTCTAATGCTCCCTCACAAAATCAAGTAATCACCACATCAATAACTGAACCAAGCAATATACGTCAAAACATCAATAGACATCCCAGAAACAACCTAAAGAACATACCTGAACATAAATCTGTACACCAATTGGCCTTGAGTATCTCAACCAGCAACCACCTAGCAGCAGCAATAGCTTTCAACTATTGCATCAGCAGCAAAAAGCAACTTCAAGAAAAGAATAGGTGCAACATACATAGCCAAAGTTCTCGCCTTGATTGCCTAATCGAAACGATTTCAAGAAAGAATAGGATACCTCTTCGTCCTTGCTGATAGGTGTAAGAGCAATTATCACTGCATGGCCATCCTTGTTCTGCAGTGGTATTCCAACAGCTTAGATTTGCCTTGCTGACGGCAAAATGGCATGACAAATGAACTGGTCCACTCAGACAAAAATGCACGCACTCACCTCATCTCTCTTAAATGCTTTAGCATTTGGACAGCATGAGTGGTTCATGCATCTCTGCAAAAAGGAAAAGAACGCCGTTCCTGCCAGCGAGAAATCACCAGGGACAATAACTTATACCGATAAGCAAACATAGGCAAAAAAATAATGTCAAGGAAACTTATAGACGTTGAACAAGTCTGTGGACTACTGAAAAGGATACAAGGTGCACACTCAGGATCAAATATTGCATCCTTGAGAAGCTGCAGTGACTACAAAGCATAGAGCTTAACTAGACCTTGGTCATAAAACATAGAAAATATATAAGATTCTATGATGCCATTGTTCCTGAACTCCAGTCTCAATCTACTTGCCAGTCACCTTATGTGGATTCAGTTCAGTTAGTAACAATGCTCCCTTCAGCATGCCCAGGCCAAGGAACAACAAAAATATCTAATCGTGAACTACAACAACAATCAGTGATTCACTAAAAGCACCTAGGGATTGGCGAACAACTTGACACCCATGAGAGGTGACAAAGTCACTACAATAATAAAAACACATAGATTAAGTCATACAAAAGACCAGCTACACAACAAATTGTCCAAAATCATGATAACCATCCTCAGAGTCTGAGAATGCAAATGAAAGTCAACTAATACATGACAAATTCTACTTGAAGCAGAGCAACTTATATATTGTTTATTCCACCACAACGAACAGGAAAAAATCTTGGGTGGTTCAACTAGAGCTCTTAATTACAGCATGGCTCACATGGACATGGAAGAGAACTGGAAAAAAAACCCACACCCAAACACACATACAAAGAAAGAGAGAGAGAGAGAGAGAGAGTGCAGCTACCAAACACAGCAAACTCAAAAGGCAAAAGGCAACTAAACTAAATAAACGATCACACTCACACTAACAGAGAGAGAGAGAGAACAAATACTCCTACTCCTATAGTCACAGACAGACAGGAGAACAAATAATCTCAGGGGCCTCAGGAGGCATGGTGAAAGCTCTAGTTTAGTTTTGGTGAATTGATGAAATCCTAAATACTAACCTAGTTCATCTAAGTGATCATGAGATAGGTAGCATTATTTCAAGTGGTGAAGCAACGGTGAAGATCATAATGATGGTGATGCCATGGTGATGATCAAGTGCTCGAACTTGGAAAAGAAGAAAGAGAAAACAAAAAGCTCAAGGCAAAGGTGAAATTGATAGGAGCTTTTTGGTTTAGTGATCGAGACACTTAGCGAGTGTGATCACATTTAGGATCGATAGCCGTACTATTAAGAGGGGTGAAACTCGTATCGAAATGCGATTATCAAAGTGCCACTAGATGCTCTAACTCGTTACATATGCATTTAGGATCTAGTGAAAAGCTAACACCCTTGAAAATGTTTGTGAAAATATGCTAACACATGTGCACAAGGTGATACACTTGGTGGTTGGCACATTTGAGCAAGGGTGGAGAAGTTGCTGAATTAAAGGAGGTGTTTTATCACTGTCAAACAATGACTAGAAGCTGAGTCCGAAGTGACCGGACTCAGGGTTCCAGCGTCCGGTCAATTATAAAAGAAGGTGGTGCTCTTGGACTTGATTTGCCATGTGACCGTACTCGGGGAAGAAAAGTGACCGGACTCTGGCTGAACGTTGTTTAGCGTCTGGTCATGCTGACGTGGCGACGCGCAGAGAAGAGGAGGAGGAGCGGATGCACCAGCGCGTTCGGTCATGGTGGACCGAACGCGTCCGGTCAAGAAAAATCGGCTCTGGTGCCTTATTGGAAACGACTGGACTCCCGTGATGGAGCGTCCGGTCACTTTGAGCAGTGCGACCAGTCGCAACTTAACACGTTGCAATCATAAAGCACCACACAAATATCCATGCAATCATATAACTCACCGACTGGACAAGATCATAAAGCACCACACAAACATCCATGCAATCATACACGTAGCAAATAATAGATCTAGATTAGAATAGTACACCAATCATAGAAAAATAAGTAAAAGAGTTTAAAACACGATTCTATGCATCGCTACGAACACACAGACGCGAGAGGCACACTAATCGGAGCTACTGTTTGAAAGAAACGGCTACTGAAAGATCTACTCATAAGAGAAGATATAAAACTATAAGCTTCATGTGTTTTAACTATATAAAAGCTTATATAAATTGAATTAAGTTAAATTTAGATTTGAATTATAAAACTAAAGTAAAACAAATCATATTTTATTTATAAAATCCAGTTGCATAATTATTATTCAAGTTAGGAGTTAAACCATGAAATTCTAGAAATAGTGACATGATAAACATTGTTACTAACGCGTAGATCTCGTTGCAATGACTCTAGCGCAACTTGAACGGGTCAATTCGGAGCTAAAACGTAGAAGATATGAAATAAATAAGTTTTCCTTTATTAAGATAATAGATTAAATCTAACCTCGAATTTTAAAAGTTGAAAACATATCTAAAAGTGGTATAAACATGTAGACAACGTAAATACGAACCTAATGCAAGTTGAACGGGTCGAATCGGAGTTAAAACAGAGATTTTATGGCTAAAACAAGATTAGTGGCAAAACTATAAATAGATGAAAACGTATTTTGAATCTAATCCGAAGAAACTACGCTTTCTAAAGAAGAAAATGTATTATGGAAAGGTGCTATGGACTGCGAGTTAGAAAATTAAGAACCCGAGGGGTCTTATGTAAAAATAGCAGCCGAAGGGGTATGGGCTTATCTGAGTCTTTGGATCAGGAGCGGATGGTTGAGATAGATTAGTGGGGATGGGGTCGTCGGAGCGGCGGTTCTAGGCGGTGGTGCCATGGCTGGTAGCAAGCGAGCTCACCGGAGCACATGGAGAAGGGCCTATGGTCCACGGCGGAGCAAACGCGAAAGCATAGGGATGGAGAACAGTGTACAATGAACTCACCATAGCTCTTTTTGGGATCCACGACGGAGCGGAGACGACTCGCGGTGCTCGGCGGTGGACGGCTATGGCGGTGCTAGGGTTCCACGGTGGCAGCGTGGCTTGAGGCGAGGTGACACAGAGGCTCCAGATTTTATAGGGGCGGAGCGACGTAGGCGGCACGGAAAAATAGTGACGTGGTGGCGTGGGGCTCTTGGCCCGACGCGGAAGCGGAACGGACTCAGAGTCCATGGCGGCGGCGGTGGAGTCCGATGTGGTGACAAGGTAGGAGACACGGCTGATGTGTGGGCCCAGGGTGGCAGCGACTGCACGCATGGGAGAGGAGACGTGGTGCGGCGCGTCCTGCGCTGGTGCCGAGCGGCTACGGGCCTCGGCTGGGTCGAGCGGAAGAGGAAGAGCTGGGCCGAGCGGAAGGAAACTGAGAGAGGGAGGGAGAAGGCCTAGCAGACCATCGGCCCAAGGAAGCAGGGCCGGTTGGGAGTGGAAGCCAGCAGCAAGCCAGGCCAGAGAGCAGGCCGGCTTGACCAAATAGAGAGCAAGAGAGAGAGGTTTTCTTTTCCTTTTCTATTTCCTTTCTTTTCTTATTTCAAATCCAATTCAAATATGAACCTATGCAAACCCAAATATTATTTCCAATTTATTTTTCAATTCAAAATAGGAGAAGAACCATTGTTAGGTTTTCAAAAAATAAATTTTACAACTTTTTAAACTCTTTTATTTTCAAATTTTCTTTTTCTTTTATTTTAAAACCATTTTTTATTTCTTTTACAAAAGCAATTTAAACCATTTTGAATTTTCAATCAAAACCACTCAATCAAATACATCAAATGCAAGGGCATGTATGCTCAAACATGTTGCTACCTTATGATGAATTTTAATTTAACAAAAAGTTTTATTTCCGACATTGTCATGAGCACAAAATTCTTAAATAAACCATTTTAAACCTATTTTCAAAAGAGGCAAATTTTAGGGTGTTACAACCAATTATGGGCCCAAAGAAGAAGGTTATTTGGGTATCAAAGACCTTGGTAACTAACCTTCAAGGACTCAAGCAAGTTTGGGTACCTAAAATGAATTAATCTTCTTTTGTAGATCAATTATAAAGCCAGAGGAAGGTATTAGGTGCTTGATAGTGGATGCACACAACACATGACTGGTGATCCAAGAATATTCAATTCGATCAATGAAAATAAACATTTGGCGACAATAGAAAAGGCAAGGTCAAAGGTCTTGGTAAGATTGCAATATCTAATGACTTGAGCATTTCAAATATGTTACTAGTAGAGAGCTTGAACTTCAACCTATTATCGGTAACTCAATTGTGTGATCTTGGTTTTAAGTGTATATTTGGTGTGGATGATGTAGAGATCATAAGTGTAGATGGCTCTAATTTGATATTCAAAGGATTTAGATATGAGAATCTATACGGTTGATTTTAATGCTAGAGAAGCTCAATTATCAATATGTTTGCTCACTAAGTTTAGCATGGGTTGGTTATGGCATAGAAGGCTTGGTCATGTTGGAATGAAACAATTGAACAAGTTGATCAAGTATGACTTAGTTAGAGGCTTAAAAGGTGTCACATTTAAGAAGGATAAGCTATGTAGTGCATGTCAAGCCGAAAAGCAAGTTGGTTACACACATCCTAAGAAGAGCATGATGAGCTCATCTAAAGCATTTGAGTTGTTACACATGGACTTGTTTGGACCAATCACATACACTAGCATTGGTGGAAACAATACAAATTTGTGATTGTAGATGATTTCACTAGATACACATGTGTGTTCTTTCTTGTTGACAAGAGTGATGTGTTTGCAACCTTCAAGACATTCATCAAGAGAATTCATAATGAGTTTAAAACAATCATCAAGAAAGTGAGAAGTGACAATGGAAGTGAGTTCAAGAACACAAGAGTGGATGATTTATGTGATGAGTTTGAAATTAGGCATCAATTTTCGACCAAGTACACTTCACAATCAAATGACCTAGTTGAAAGAAAGAATAAAACTTTGATTAACATCGCAAGATCAATGTTGAGTGAGTACAATGTGAGTCATTCATTTTGGGCCGAAGCAATCAACATGACTTGCTACTATAACAACCGACTCTATTGTCACCCCATGATGAAGAAGACACCT